CTCCATGTACCTCATCTAAGTGGAATCATACAGTATTTGTCATTGTGTGATGGGCTTATTTCACGTAGCCTAATGTCCTTAAGGTTCATTCATGTTGTAGCCCGTGTCCTTTTTATGGCTGAATAATATTCCATTGTGTGTCTATGGTACATTTTGTTTATCCATCCATCCGTCAACAGACACTTGGGTTACTTCCAGCATTTGGCTATTGTGAAGAATGCTGCTATGAACATTATACAAGTATCTCTTAGAGACCCTGCTTTCACCTTTTTTGGGTATATGCACAGAAGTGGGACTGCTAGGTCATACGTGTGATACTGTGATTTATAATAAGAGATACATATTTGGTCTTCATCTCTGTTTTTGGCACAGAGCTCCTAAAACCCTTGTAATTTCCTAAGTGATAAGTGTGATAAAGGTGTCTCGATATGCATAACAAACTTCTTTCAACCACACCTAAGTTTATGTTAATGAGGTGACTTTTGCAAAGCGCCTAAGGATGGGGCCTGGTTTCCAGAGGAACCAACCTTGTGACTGGAGGGTTGGAACTTTCAGTCCCACCTCCTGACTGCCAGGGATGGGGGGGAGGGGCTGGAGGAAGAATTAATCGCCAATGGCCAATGATTTAATCAACCGTGCCTATGTAATAAAGGCTCCATAAAAAAACACAAAAACAAAAAGACTAGGTTTAGAGAGCTTCCGGGCTGACGAACCAGAAGCCATCCATGGGTCCCTGTGCTAGGTGCCAAACTCCTTGGGGACAGAAGCTCTTTTGTTTGGGACCTTGCCCTCTGTATTTCTTCATCTGGCTGTTGGTTTATATCCTTTAATATCCTTCGTAATAAACCAGTAATCCAGTGAGTAAACTGGTTTCCTGAGTTCTGCAAGCAGCTCTAGTAAATTAATTGAACCCAAGGAGGGGGTTGTGGGAACCACTGATTTGCAGCCAGTGGGTCGGGAGAGTAACACCCTGGACCTGTGATTGGTGGCTGACGTGGGGGGCAGGGTAGTCTTATGGGACTGAGCTCTTAACCTGTGGGATCTGATCTCTGGGTAGACGGTGTCAGATTGGAGCTGAATTGTGGGACATCCAGATGGTGTTGGAGAATTGCTTGATGCGGGGGAAACGCCCACACACTGGAATTGGGGACAGACTCAGAGTATGTTGACTCTTCATTTTTTGAGGAATCTCCAGCCTGTTTTCCACAGCACTTGTACCATTTCACATTCCCACTAACAGTGCAGGAGGGTTCCAATTTCTCCATGGCCAGAACTTGTTTTCTGTTTGTTTGTTTGTTTGTTTTAAGATTTTATTTATTTATTTGAGAGAGAGAATGAGATAGAGAGCATGAGAGGGGGGAGGGTCAGAGAGAGAGGCAGACTCCCCGCCGAGCAGGGAGCCCGATGCGGGGCTCAATCCCAGGACCCTGGGATCATGACCTGAGCCAGAGGCAGATGCTTAAGGACTGAGCCATCCAGGTGCCCCTGCTCATCACTGTTTGATCCAATTGCAAAGGGAAGCATGTGTGTTGACAACTGGTCCTCCAAATAGTTTTTCACTCTCTAAATGACTGTTTCCACCAGGCAAATTGTCATTTGTTCAAAGGATGCTGGAGGTCAGCAGCGGCTGGTTTTTCACAAGCTTCTTGGCAACTTTACCTCCGATGCTACTTTTTACTCTAAGGAGTAGAACTCTGATTGCTGTCTCTATAGTTTGGGTTTCTTCCCTGCCTTTAGCGATGGAATGACTTGGTTTCATCCTAGAATATACTCTTTTGTAACTGGTATGAGAAAGTTGCTTGGCTTATGGACGAGGTCACTGTGCCCATGTACTTACTCTCTGACAGTGTTCCTTCATAACAGGTAATGCACGGGGAACCGGGAGGTGTAGCTTGCTGTCCTGGAAAATCCAATTTTTATTGTTCTATGTCTTATTTCCACTCTTCTTTAAAAGATTTTTTTTTTTTTATTTGAGAGAGAGAGAGCAGGAGCGGGGGGGGGGGGGCGGAGGGAGAGGGAGAAGCAGGCTCCCCGCTGAGCAAGGAGCCCGACATGGGGCTCGATCCCAGGACCCTGAGATCATGACCTGCGTCGAAGACAAGACGCTTAACCGACTGAGCCACCCAGGCGCCCCTCCACTCTTCTCTTTTTGGTTGCTGTGTAAACTAATCATTCTTTTTTTTTTAAAGATTTTATTTATTCATTTGAGACACCAGAGATACAGAGAGAGAGAGAGCATGAGCAGTGGGAGAGGCAGAGGGAGAGGGAGAAGCAGACTCCCGGCTGAGCCAGGAGCCCGATGTGGGGCTCGATCCCAGGACCCTGGGATCATGACCTGAGCTGAAGGCAGACCGCTTAACCATCTGAGGAGCCACCCAGGCGCCCCTCATTCTTTTTTTTTTTTAAGATTTACTTATTTATTTGAGAGACAGCTCGCGCACGCGTGCACACAGGGTGGGGGGAGAGGCAGTGGGAGAGAGAGAATCTCAAGCGGATTCCCTGCTGAGCGCAGAGCCCAACGCGGGGCTCAATCCCATGACCCTGAGATCACGACCTGAGCTGAAATCAAGAGTCAGACGCTCAACTGACTGAGCCACCCAGGAGCCCCTAAACTGATTCTTAAAAGATTTATTGGTTCCAGCCCATACAGACTCATCTTTTTATACCGGTAATGTTTTTCTGATAGAGAAATTGGGCTCTGGAATCAGACTGCCATGTTTAAATCTAGGCTCTGCCATGTGCCACCTGGAGGCCTTGGCCAAATTACTTTTTGTGTCTTTGTTTCCCCATCTGTCAGTAGGGTTAATAATGACATCTAACTCCTAACATTGAGAGGAATTAGCAAGATAGGTATAAACACTCATGCCTGACATGTAATAATTGCTCAACATATATTAACTACAATTAGAATTATTATCTATACTTTTATTCAAAGCACTTTTAAGCCACGGATTCATTGTGTAATTGGGGATATAAGGTAACACCACAATGACCATCCTTTGTCTCATGGGTGGCCACTGTCCTGACTTAGGTGTATTTATCATTCTCGTACATGCATTTGCACATTAACAACATGCGTATCCATAAACATTATGTAGCGCTTTTTATGAGGCTTTACCACCTTATATAAACGCATCATTCTGTATGTATTCTTCTGTAAGTTGCTCTTTTCACTCAATATTAACTTTTTGAGATTTATTCACGTTGACAGGTGTAGGTCACGCATCTTGAACTGCCAGAGTCAGCCACAGTTTACCCGTCCTCTAGCTGACGGACATACGGTTTTCTCCCAGTGGATGGGCATGTTTGTTCTTTCGCCCACGGACTCCGCCGGGGATCAGCAGCACCATTAGCACTGAGTACTTACTGTACTCACCACGGGCTAGCTCGGCAGCACTCCTCCACGGGCTTCCTCACAGGAGGGGACAAAGTCCCTCGTCAGGGTCACGTGGAATGAGACCGACAGTGGATTCGACCCAGGCCTGCCTGAGGCTGAGGCCTGTGCCCCTAGCCACTCCGCCATTCTGTCTCCTAGGGAGGAATGCCTGGGATCACACCGAGGCAGGTGGACAGGCACCTGAGCAGGGTCTGGGTGAGACCCTCCCTCCCGCCTGGCCCTGGCCCACTGGAAAGGCAGAGGGACCAGCTACAGCTCTCAGATCTGTCTTGGTCTAGGATTGCTCAGTTACTGAGTCAGCACCGTCTGCTTTGGTTTCAGAACCCCCTGTTCCTGCAAGAGTATCTAACACCACTGGAGACTTTCTGGAGGGGTAGCCCACAGGCTCCATCTGTCCCGTGTAACACAAAAGAACTGCCAGAAGCATAAAAAGGGCCACGTCTCTGCTGCTGGCTGGTGGTGAGGGGGAGTGGAATGGAGGCAGGTGTCAGAAACCCTGGGTCAAAGCATGAAAGAGACAATTGGGGAGAGACTAGCAAGCCACTAGCGTGGGCCTGGAGGCTATGGGTGGCCTGGAAGGAGCAAATGGCATTTACTTTGCTTTAATGTAAACTCGGTTTAGAACAATTTAGAATTTAAACATTCTGATCTTGGATCTCATTCCAGGGCTTGGTTACTGGGGCAGTGACTATTGCTATTCTAAGACGGTGAGTGTCTGATGTCCCCTAACTGGAGTGGGCTTTGTGGGTTACTGCCTTGCTCTTGGCCCTGGCCTCCTCATGTGTGAAACTGGGAAGGGAGCCAGCCAACAGATGCAGGACACAAGGGGTCTGACGTGGAGCAGGGACTCAATAAATGGTCATGGTCATCATTACCTCCCTATGAGGCAAGTCTCACCAGCAGACAGCTGGGTCGAGGTGTAGCTTCCGCCAACTGGCCTCAAGTTGTGAGGTGTCTTCATGCCTTGAAGGAGATCAGGGTTTGACTGAGGACCAGAGAGTAGAATCAGAAGTTCCTACAAAGAACCCCCCTCCCCTGGGCCTCCTATTCCAGCAGGTTTCCGGTGTGACCCCAACCCTAACTCAAGGGTCTACTCCCCCAGCTGGGCCAAACCCATCTCCGTCTGTCCAGGTTCTGAACAAGCTTCTGGAGCAACAGGACGCACACCAGATCCTGATCTGGAGATCTCATAAGGCCAGAGGGTGTGGCAGCGGGAAGAGAGGAGGAGAACAGTAAGATGGATAAAGTGCCCTCACTGCAGGGCCTAAATACACTGCCGCCAAGTAGGGAGCATCTGCAAAGACGGAGGCTTGCAATCTCTGAGCGAGACAGACATTTCCGCTAAGGAGCAGTAAGACCCGGAAGAGCTCCCTTGCCCACAAGCAGTGCCTTGTTGCTGCCCGGGACCCAAGGCAAGCTTTGTGAACTGTCCTCGAATGTGAGACCATTACAGAGCTCAACGGGAGCGATGCCGACTGGGCTCTAGAAGACTCCGAGCCACAGCCGGGGTGGTGGTCTCATCTGCAACGGGCCACCGCAGCAGCCTTCTTGCTTCGACTCTCCAAAGTAAAGCCGGACCAGGAGTCACCGCGGACACCGTGAATGGGTGCTGACTGATTGATTTATTAGACTCGAGTGCTTTAGTACAGAACGGTACAGAGATGATACATGTTTGTGCTTCAGTACTTTCCAACACTGAGATTCCGAGAATTTCAAGGTAAACAAGTTTCAAGACAGACTAGCTTTTTTAAAATATCCTTTTGATAAATTATTTTTATATAAATAACAGAGAAAGGAAACCCAACACGTTCGACGCACAAGGCCCTGAAGCGTGAGCCCCGTCTGGTCCAGGGGAGGGGACGAAAGAAGCAGTGGCAGCGAGAAACAAACCAGGGCAAGCACCTACAGTTCTGTCCTAAGGAAACGGGAGAGCGGGACAGAGCGAAGAGGCCTGAAAACCAATCCGAGTGCGCCGGGGAGACTCCGAAGCCTTGGGAAGAGACCACCACGAAGCGTCTACCGGGGAGGGCGAGGAACGCACTCGAAAGGAAAGCGCGCGGCTGCGTGGAGCTATCTCACACCACGTCTGCAAGGACAGCACGAGACAGTAATATGCACACGGTCCGCAGGGGTTCAAGGGCGGCGGGGGGCGGGGCAGGGGACATTTTTGTGACTTCCACTGTCATTATATTTTGCGACAACAGCAGCAGAACACATGGCGCGCTCGCCATCGGAGAACGGAGGGCTGCTGAGTCTTGAGGATGACGAGACATCCTTTCTGCATTTGCTTCTTTCATTTTTGCTTTAGAGCTAAGTTTTATACAGAGAATAAAATGATCATTTTCTCTTACAAGCACGACGACATATGACCCCACACGACACAAAATAAAGTACTATAAAGTATCTTAAACTGAGGATAATCTGAGCGGGAACAGGGTCTGCATAAATCCAATGGGCTGTTTTTCTCCCATGGTCTGAAGTCTGAGGGGTGCAGACCCTTCTCTACAGGAAAGGGCCCTCTGCCCAGGAGCCTGCGGAACCCATTCCGTTCTAGTTCGTTCCTCACCCGGGAGCTCCGCCCGGCTGACCCCGCTGAGAAAGAAGAGCCCTATTGGGGGTGGTGCCCGGGGAAGCAAAGGGTATGGCCAAAAAGGCCAGCCGAACTGCTTCTGCAAGAGACCAAGGTCCTGGTGGGAGCTTGCTCCGCACTTGCGGGGCACCATGACTTAGGCTGCAAGATTACTTCCCTCGGGATCACAGCCCTGTGGACACGGGCCAGGCCGGGGGAAGGCGGCGGGAGGTGACAGGCTGCACGCACGCAGGCCAGCACCTGGCCTGACTTCACAGGAACACCTCCAGCCCCTCCCACAGCCCCAGCACATGGAGGATAAGCCACTGGGGAAGGCTAAGAGGTCGCTTCCAGCCCAAACCTCACAAGATGTCACCTGATCTTCACTGCCAAGCTTATCTGGATGACAGCAGGCCGAGGGGTAAGAACTGGAGTGAAGCCAACAGATTAATCCTCAGTTTGAAATATTCCAGCAACAGACATCTCTGTGATTCCCAGAAAGAAGAGGAACAACCCAAAACAGATTTTGTAAAACACCCAAATGTCTACCTTCCCATACTCAAGCAATTTGTGCATGTTGCACTGGGTTATATACAAGGTCATGGAATCCTAATAATGGGGAGAAGGTGTCCATTCATTCTAGACAGTTCTACAACTTCTCCAGCAGTGTGTCCCTTATGCGGGAACTTCTCCTCTTAGGACACATATAGAAGATACTCTTTTTAAAAAACACAATGCATTATTTTCTTTTGTTTCACACAAGAAGAGGGCATCATTAAACACGAGAACGCAGCGGCGACAGTGCCGGCCAGGGCGTGCAGAGCTGGGGGCGGCGGTGGAGGGACGGGGTCAGCAAAGTAACCGAGGCGGGCAGCGGTAGGGGCTGCAGCACTGTGGGAAGAGGGTTCGTTTTTTGGAGGGGTGGCTTATGTTTTTAACTGCTTATTTCTTCATCTGTTTTATTCAGTTTCTTCAGCGTGTCCAGCAGTTTCTGTGGGGTGAGAATGTGCGTGGATCCTGGGGGGCAGAAAAGACAGTGAGCTTGCTGGCTCCAGTTCCCACCACGTCTCCTTTCCTGCTCTTCCGTTCCCCAGCTCCGCATCCGTTCCCCCACCCACACCCTGGTCTAGAGGAAGCAGGGAGGGGGCCAGGGGTGGGGTGTTGGGGCCACATCACAATAGGCCTGGGAGACATTTGGGGACTGTGGATAAACAAAACACATCCTCTGGCTCAGGCAGGGTCCCAGGCTATACCAAGGAAGGAACCCGCCTCTCCATCTGGGCTCAGTGTCATCTGCCAGGGGACAGGGAGGCTGCATTTCTGATTCTCTCTTGCACTCGAGGTGAAGCCAGGGAGAGGAATTCCAAACCATATGGCACGGGAGAGGCTGGGAAGAGGGCGGTGGGGCAGGGGCGGGTAGGGGGCTGTGTGTGGAAAGGATGATGCCTGCTAGGGAGGGAGTGATGGGCAGGGCACCCTGGGGGAAGCCACTGACCTCGGGAGCCAGTGGGCTGGGACTGCCCTGGGGGGGGGGGGACCTCAGGTGTGAAAGGGAAAGGGCCAGGGTACCTGAGGCCTTACCTTGCAGAGACCGCACATTGTAAGAGACTAGAAATGCTTGCAAAAAACTTAAGCTAATGGAATTAGATATACTTCTATTGCAAAAATAAAAAAAATAAAATAAATAGATGAAGTCCTTTTTCATAAGGAGAGAGAGCGCTAAGAAGTGCAGTAAAAAAAGATGCATGGACCATGTGGCTTGGACATGGACTTTACTGGAACAGAACAGAAGTGACCGGTGTGTGAACATGAGGCCGGCACACATGCAGCAGCCAGCTTCAAAGAAAGAGATCCCGGTGGGAGAGACGAACCGAACAAAAGAGATCCGTACTTGAAAATGTGCCTCCCTGGAGGTGCGGGCAAGGGCGTGGGCCTTGGGGGAGTGGGGACAGAAACTGCAGCGTGCCAGATTTCCACCCAGAGGGCGGCAAAAGAAGGCTTTGGCTGGCTTGTTGGGGTTGATTCCAAATACCAAGGGGCCCTGTGCCTTCGAGCACTATGTGCTCAGCTGACCCGCGACGGCTGGGACCGCAGGCCTTGAACCTGCCTGGTCAGTCCAGACCTCTAATGTGAGGGGCTTCTTCCAACATCCCATCCTCTGTAGTTCAAGCCCTAGCCACTCTGTCACTGCCCCGAGGGAGGAACTGGTCCCTGGCTACTTAACAGCCCACACCAGCCCCTGCACTGACCATTGCCCTGCACACCTGAGGCTCCTTCAGGAAAGGCCACGGGGCTTTCAGCAGTTTGTTCCTGGGCCTTTTTACAGCTCCGCCCTCCCCCAGAGGTACCAAAGGCAGACTCATTTCTGTGACCTTGCTAATCTTCCTACGAGTCCTAAAGAACATCAAAGGCTACTATTCCCCAAGTGAGAAAACAGGAATAAATGTTGCCCAATTCTTAACAGTGAACCATTGCCAGAGTGAGGGTCTTCCAAATCTCAACTCCATGCAGTCTATGCGTCTACATCTAGAAAGCCTCTGGATATTTGTGCAGGGATTAACTTGGGGGCTTTCCAGGTAAAGGCGACAACAGTGCCCATGCTAGAGAAACTGTCCCTAATGCCCTCCCACGCCATCCAGCTGAGTTCCAGGAAACAAGACAGAAGACTCAATTTCCTGGAAAAATCAAAAGGGAGCCTCTGGTCAGATGCATATCCCAAAGTGCTCCCTACCCTCGCTTACATGCAAATTCAAGGTCTTAGGGAGGCCAAAAAAGGGTTAAGGAATCCATGCTCCTAGAACTTTCTACTATCTAATAGCTGACCATCTGGTGTTCCCAGTCTGAGTGAAAGAAGAAAGTGTCCAGGACTGAGTATTCTGGGCCCAAACTCACTGGGTGTCTTTAAAGGATCCAGACCAGCTGGTGTTAATCTGAATCACCTGAGAGCTAATGCTTGTCACCCAATCACCTGAATTAAAACCCTGGTCAAGCTTTCCACCACCACAAACTGCAGACGGAGCTGCATGAGCCTATAATACACATGCCGCAAACCCATGTTTTGAACCCACGGGAGCTGACCAGGTCGGCCCTTCAGAACCGCAAGGGGATTCCACCGCTCTGAGGTCTCTCTTATGCTCCGTAAGTGCAAGACTGAGAAATGTGAACAGTGGTCTCCAAACACAGTCATCCGAAAGACTGTCAGAGCTGTGGGCCAGACCCAGTGAGCTAGCTCTGCCAGGACAAAACCTTTCCTCACTGAGAGAATCTGGAAATCAGAGTGCTCCTACGGATCGGCTGGTCTAGGCATTGCTGGCTTTGGCCGAAACGCACCCACCAACTCAGCAGATCCAGGGAGGTACCAGGGAATGTGTACATGTAAGAGCAACCCAGGAGAGTTTGATGATCTGCCAGGTTTGGGAAACATGCTCTGGCCCACCCACATCCTAAAGATGGGAGAACGAAGCCCAGAGTGGCAGAGTGCTCATCTGCAGCCCTTTGGTGGCACAGCCAGGCCCGGAAGGCAGGCCACTGGTCTCAATTCTGGGCACCCTGGGCTCCTGGCCCAGACAGGGGACATGCAAGCAAATGCTTAAATAGCAGCTGGGCAATGGGTTCACTCTGAATTCAGATTCAGATCTGAGTCCCACTGAAAAATGAGACTTCTCTGATTCCAAATGGGAATAAAGCAAAACATTCAATATAAAAAAACAAAAACTTTCTCCCCAGTGCAAGTGTTGTGGACAGCTTTTCGGGGCACCTCCACCGGCCTCGGGCGGCCCCTTGGACATTCCCTCAGGATTGGTACTTTTAACACAACCCCCCAGAGCCGGGGGTGAAGATCTAATGCAAAGACTTCACTTCTGGACAGTATGGAGGGATGACTGATTAATGGGATTAAGGTGAGGCATCTGTGCACTTTGGCTACCCACACCTGCTCCCTTCAACCGGCACCTGGGGGAGAGAGAGGCACCAGAGGACGGAGTGGGCACTGGCACCCACACATGGGGCCCGCCGGGGACACGCTCACTCACTGCTGAGCGGGAAAACTCATCTCCTAGAAGCTAAGTCACTGCAGACACTGACTTCGACAGGGGACAACCCCGGCCCTCTCCTGTCCTGCACTGTCCTTGTCTTTGGTCACCTGGATAATCACAACAGAAGGGGGCAAGTCACAGCTTCATCTGCCTTCCGACCTCCCTGGGATTAGGGCTCCATGTCACACTTTTTCCTAAAGGAACTCTCTAAAACACAACACTGCCCCCAAAAAGCATTTCAGAAGCCAAGAGTACACAACTCAAGTCTATTCGTGTTCTCTGCTCAGATGTTAGCTGAGACCCTCTGTGCTGGCTGAACATAAAACAAAGGAAACCAGCCTGCGAGGGACAGGCTGCTTCTGAAGCAGGGACTCCCAGAGCGAATCCTAGCTGGAGCCTCCGAGCTGTGGGTTTGAGTCTTTCAAACCTTGCAAGCACTCCGCCACTGCTGTGGCCTGGACTGAACATCTGTCCCCGGTTAAGTCTTACAATACATCCCGCAGCAAATGCTGATCACCTACCTGCCATCTGTACACAGAACCAGATGTCTCTGATTACCAACCAACCAAGGTACTTCTAAACAAAGACGATTTTTTTTTTTTAACAATGACTATTTTTTAACAATTGCTTTTATTCACCACCCACTGGCTGCACTTTCTAGGGGAAGGCAGCTGGGCAGGATGGGAGGCAGCCCAGGGCCACAGCCAGCCCACCATGCACCGTGCAGGCTCATCCCACATGCGGCTTCTCCCCTCACTACTGCCCGGGGGGAGCCATCTCTAGGCCACAGGGAGGAAAGAGGAGACCAATTGCACAGCTGCCTGTTCTGACCTTTAGAGTGAGTCCTTTTCTGGCCTGAGCATGTTATGTTTATACAAACAAGCACGCTTCTGGTGCTCCCTGGTTATGGTTCTGATGGCCCAATCCCCTGAGGTTCATCAGAGATTGCAAATGCATGAGGGTAGGACTGCAAGCTTTGAGGCCCCTGATCTGAATTACTGAATGAGACGGTCAGACCTCAAGGAGCCTGGGGCCCTGCGATCCAGCCTCTCTGCATTCTGCACACTGTGTGTGTGTGTGTGTGTGTGTGTGTAGGGGGGGACCTGCTCCTGGCAGAGCTGGGGCTAGAGTCCAGGCCTCACCACTGCTCACAGGTGACTCATGTCCCGTGATTCACCAGGCCACATCTCAGCCTGGGTGGGGGGGGTGGGGTCGGTGGAGCACACAAAGTCAGGTACACAGAGTGTGGCCTCATCACAGACTGCAAAAGAAAGCTACGGAAAAACTAATGCTACAATGGAGTTCCTCAGTAACCGTCTGTCACATGACACAGCAGAGGAGGTTCCCAGCACATGTGAGGGATGGAAAGAGAGAGGAAGGAATGAGGACAAGAGTAAAATCTGGATAATCTACCAGATGGACACCAGGTTCCTGGGTAACAGGTAAAGGCACAAGTGTGGTGGGAGAGAGAAGACACTCTTTTCAAACAGCACACTGTGTTAAGAACAAATTTTAACCCAAAGGTTCCCAGATCTCACTAAGAGACATCAGTGCGAGAGAGGGGTATGATGACTCAGTGCTAGAAAAAATCCACAGGAGAATGAAAATAAAAGCAATTACTGAAAGAGTTAACTATGAAGGGCCATTTCCCCCAGACGAACATGAGACTCGAGCTTTCCACTGGGGGCTGGAGTTCACCAAGTACACGATGGCTCGTGACCCCATCACCCCCTAGAAACTTCCTCAAGCTGAGCGCCTGTCCTGGGAAAAAGGAATTTCTGTGTCTAACTACCACTGACGTGGAGTCTATTCTGACGCGCTCCAACGAGCCTCCCTCACGATCAGGTACCTGTGGATATCTCCACTGGACTTCTGCCTTCTTAGACATGATGGTCCCTTGAACGCCTGCGGGCCTCACTCTCAAGTTCGCACAACCCCCACACAAGCAGGAGGCCATGTGTTCCCTGCCTGGTGCCTACAAATTCGCCCAGGCCAGCAGGCTTGCGTGCCATGCCTCCAGCATCCCTCAGCTTCCAGCTCCTCTGAAGGACTGGTCACAGCAGTTATGATCACTTTTGGATTAAAACCCAGGGGGCGGCACCGCCTGACTGAGCAGCAGGGGACCCAGGGCACGAGTGAGCTGGCAGGCCGGGGCCCAGAGGCTCTCGCGGCAGGGTCTGTGAAGGCAGCACCGGACACATTTTCAATCGGTGTTAAGAACTGCAAGCATTTTCTTGTTGAAAGAAAATCAAATAAATAAACTAAAAAGGGAAAAAGAAAGAAAAAGAGTGACGGAATAATCAAAGAAAACCCTTCAGAGTGGAAGAGTTTCTTTTCTGTAATAAGCTGCTTTTACTTTGTTTCTTTGACTCTCACTCCATTGTTGGAGCCTGATCCTCAAAAGATACCCTAGAGGACTCCCTGAAGTCGGGGTGTCTCAGGTCCATGAGAAATTTGGTGGGAGTGAGAATGTGAGTAGAACCTGCGGGAGAACAGAGTCCAGCTGACTGCTTGAACAACGGTACGTTACAGGAACATGCCAACTCAGGCCCATGTTTTATGCAGCCAATGAGGTGTGAGAAAGCAAGACGCAAGCACGCGCACACGCACACAGGCCTCAAGGACAGCCGGCATGCACAAAGCGGGTGAGGCCACGCTGCGGACGTCAGCTGTCTGCGCAAGGCCTCTCCGTGAATCTGCGGGGGCAAATTTATCTCCCTAGGGTTCCACCCCCCAACAGGGAACTGCAAGTCAGGACCAAAGTCGAAGAGGGAGATTTACACCAAAGCCTGGCTGTGACAGCTTCTGCCCAGGAAAGCTGTATTTGAGCTGAGAATTATCAGACACATGCATGCAACACATACACAAGCAGGGGGCAGAGGGAGCTTTATCACGGGGTCCACGTAAAAAAAGGAGAAAACAATACAGGGAGAAATGGCGACCAGCTGGGGAAGTTCCAGGGAATGGGGAGGGAAGGAGAGGATGTCCAGTCTCCCCACTGAATGGTGGTCTCTAGAAAGGGGGTTGACAGTGCCAGGTCCATCTTGACTCACCCAGGAATGGCCACATAGACTGGTCTGCAGAACCTGCTCACTCTGAGAGCTTAGGGGGCACTGTGACTTGGTTACCCCAAAGGGGAGGTGTAAAACGGACACAGCTCATAGAGATCAGGGGCACGGCCAGGGCAGTATGTGCCGATAGCCTTTTGTCAGTGTCAAGAGGCAGCCCGGGAGGTGCAATCCATTTTGTCAAGGGCAAGATGGGGCAAAAGGAAGGCATCTGGAGTTCACTCTTCCCCTTCCAGCCCTAGAAACTGTGGAAGCTCCTGCAGGCATGAAAAAGGAGTAAAGTCTGCTGCCTTTAAGTCAGCTTAATGAGTTGCTTTCTTTCTTCTGGAAAGGAAATGCCAGAAAGGGTATGGCCGACCTAGAAGTGGTAGGAACTGGAAGGGGAGGCGGGATCCCTTAGCAGAGTCCAGCAGTCAGGCCAGTATGCTTCAGGCAATATCTGCTCGCAGGCTGTGTCTGTCCATCTCCAACGGACAGGTAAAGGAGGGGGCGATAATTTACCTTCCATTCACTGAGCTTCTTCTGGATATGAGGCCCAATGCCAGGAAACAGACAAGTCCCACCTCAGGCCCAGTGCAAGGCTCTAAGTGGGTGTTCTTAACCCCGTTTGGTTGGGTAAGGAAATCGCAGCATGGAGAGGTGGAGCGCTTGCTCAAGGTGACCCACCTGGCAGTGGCCAAGCAGGGACGGGAGTCTGGGTGTGTTGGAGTCTGTGCTCGGACGCTTCCCACCGCTTACAGCTGCCTCTCATCATGAGACACAGTGCAGACACGAGGAAAGAACCCTTTGCCCCTCAGCTGCTGCTATCCACAAACATGTCTAGAGACTAAGTTTTGCAGGGGCAATGGAGAATCGAAGACAGAATGAAACACCAAAGCATGGAATGGGTCAAAGTGCAATGAAGCAGCCCCTTCCCTCTAGAACACATGCCCCCACTCACCTATTAGCACTTCCCACTTTCCATTGGCTTGGGTCACCTCGTAAGCACAACGCATCTCGTTCAGGCTCACGCCCCCAAGGATGAAAATAATGAGGCGGGGACCACTGCGGTACTCCCCTGGGGCCTTATTCTTATGCCAGTGCCCATAGCGGGCGCTGGGGTAGGGGTGAGAGAGGGAGGGAAGGAGGAGAGAGAGGGAGAGAGAGAGAGAGAGAGAGAGATTAATTATGTTTATCTGCACTGAAGTATTTAGCACTTCATACCTCAATGACTTATTTACACATTCATTCTGTACACCAGTGACCAAAACAGAGTAGTAGCGAGTGTTGGCCGAGCTGAACCGCTGTGTACATTATCAAGGGGTCTGGCTGCCCATGCTGTGAGCTTGTCACTCTCTTGGAAACATGAGGCGACAGGCAGGCTCGAGTTAGCTTTAAAGTCTGGCGTGTTACACCCCCCCCAGCTTCGCCCCTCGCGGTGGTTGTCAGGCTTCTGCCCTCGAGCGTACAGGTTTCTAGGCTTGTCTGGGACCCTCGGCTGGCAGTGAGCGGTGACGGCAGAGTCAAGGCCCGCCGTCAGGTCGGCACGCTGATTCACGCCCCGAGCACCTCACCGGGCTATGGTCTCCCCTGGCCCCGCGGTGCCGCCCCGAGGGAGACTCAGCCGTGCCCACCGAGAGCTCACGGTTTAACTGGGCTGGGTGGGGAGAAGGAAGCAGGTCAGAATCGTGCTACAGAGGAGCTCAGTGCTATCAGGACACACATGGGAGGGCCTTCTAGCATCATCATCCGGGCATCACCGGAGAAGTCTTCCCAGGAGATGTGACACTGAGCTCCTCCTGAAAGACAGGCATTTCAATGGTGGGGCAGTTCCCCCCACTGGCCCTGAGCTGCTCTTAGTAAGTCTTCACCTCGTCCTCAGAAACAATGAGAAATGGGTAGCTTCCAGGTTAAGAAAATGGGGGAAATAAAACAAAAAGCAAAACAAGGAGAGTCTCTAGTGAAATCTCTGCCCTTCTTCCTAATGACAGCGTTAAAAAAAAGTCACTTTCTGATCCTGAAGGTGCCAGGGGCACATGGGGTCAACACAGAGAAAATCCTTTGACAGTCTGCCATCGTCAGCCCGCCTGTCTGCGGCACCACCAGGGATTTTGAATTTTACCCCAGTGTTGGCAATCGACATTTGGCCTCCACTGGCATCAGAGGGGATGCACAATGCCACAGAGGCCACATGGGCCTGCAGCCTCGGCCCAAGCGAAGGCCTGAAAGTGAGGGCGGGGGCGCCTGGGTGGCTCAGTCCGTTAAGCGTCTGCCTTCGGCTCAGGATCCTGGGATCGAGTCCCACCTCAGGCTCACTGCGCAGGGAGCTTCTCCCTCTGACTCTCTCTCTCTCACCCTCTGTCTCCCATGAATAAATAAATAAAATCTTTAAAAACAAATAAAAGTGAGGGCAGCAGGCTGGGAGGCAAGAGAGATGGCAGGCAAAGCACGAGCAGGAAGATAAGCATGCAGAGTGTTCATCTTGGGAGCTAAATGCTACTCCAGGGCCCCGGCATGCCCTCTTTGGAGCTAGAGATGCTCCTGTTCCAAGCTCAAAGGTTCATTCAGCCTTGACTCTTCTCAGGAGCCACCCCAGGCTCTCACTGTCAAAGAAAAACAGTAGCACCCTGGCTCAGAGGCTGCCACCTCAGGAAAGGTAAGAGATGCTTCTGTGGGTCAGGGAACAGCCTGGACCACATAGACGAGGGAGGCCAAGAAGAGTCTGCAGGCGAAATACCTTCAGACATCCTCACAGAGCACAGAAGGGAAGGCTTCCCGATGCACGGCAGGAGGAGAAAAAGAGGAAACGCCTTTGAAAACAGACCCTGGAAGATATCATGAGCAACCAAGAAAATACACAGTGTTGGAGAACCCAGGGACAGAAGTATGGATTGCTGTCTACTCACATCTCCAAGCTGAAATATCTGAGCATCACCAGGTACGTGGCAGAAACCCAATAAACCCAAGGCATCCACACTTCCATCAAGCATGATTCTGAGAAACGCAGCTCTATGCAGACAACATATTCATCCCCTTCAACTGATTAACCAAAAGTGAAAGCAGAATACACTGAGCACCTACTATGTGCTAGGCTCTGTTTTAGCAACTGAGGCTAAAATAGACACACAAATCCCTGCCCTCGCAAGGCTGACATTCTAATTGGGGGAGACTGGCAGTAAGCAAGAGAAACACAAATACTCTACTACATGCTGGTATAATGTATGGAGTGAACAAAAAAAGGAAGGGGGAGAGGAGGTGTTGGGGGGTGGCTATCATTTTTTTTCTTTATTTTCTGTAACACCTTTATTGAGAGGTAATTCACGTTATACGATTCCCTCATTCAGCGTGTACAATGCAGTGGTCTTTGGCATAGTCACAGAACTGTGGACCATCACCAGTCAATTTTAGACCATTTTCATCACCCTAGAAAGAAAGTCCATACCCATTAGCAGTCACTCCCCATTCCACCACCCCAATGCCTGCCCCCCCCCCCCCCCCAGCAATCACTCATCTACTTTTTATCTCTACAGATTTGCCCACTCTGGACATTTCATACAAATGAAATCATACAATGTGTGGACTTTTGTGACTGGCTTCTTACACCTAGTATAATGTTTCCAAGCTTCACCCATGTTATGGCACAAGTCAGTGCTTCATTCCTTTCTTAGGCTGGATAATATTCTATTGTATGAATACACTATGTTTTGCTTACCCATTTATCTGTTGATGGAAATTTGGGTTATTTCCACTTTTGAGCTATTATGAATAGCACAACTAGGAACACTGGTGTAATGTTAAAAAGGATAGTTAGGGAAGGTGGAGGAGATAAGGGGCAAGCCACACAGATATACTGGGGACAGATCATTTCAGGCAGAGGGAAAAGCAAGTGCAAAGGTCCTGAGGCAGAAGTAAGCCTGACATTGCAAAGAAGGAAGCTAGTGAGGCAGAAATGGAGAGAACAAAGGGAGGAGCAAGGAATGAGAGTGGTGGGAAGCTGGAGGGTGAAGGGCCTGCACTCTGGCTGTGATGAGAAGCGGTGGGAGGGTTCTTGTGGATACTGCTGCTTCGTAACAGGACCACCCAACAACCAACCAGAGATGGGCCCACTTCTCCCACTCACTGGCTCAGGGTTCTCACTCACCTGACTGCGGTGGTACTAAAGGAAGCAGAGGAGCGAGTAGAGATGTAAGGGTAGTGCTTGGTATCAAGTTTGTCTTCAATTGTGTCCTGGAAAGAAAAGAGACAGATATTAAGCTTTTGCCATTTGTTTGAGAAGGGCCAACAGAACCAAGGCAAGATGGTTCAAAGAACAAGTCACTTAGCACAGTGACATGGCCAAGTTTGCAACAACCAGCATCCCCCCAGCCTGCTGCCTGCTCTAGGTGCCTAGCACGGTGCTCCGCAGGGACCAGATGCCCTACAACTGGCTGGTGCACGGAGATCAGTCTGCAGGGCTGCTTCTTTAAAAGTTAAAAAAAAGGGCGCCTAGGTGGCTCAGTTGGTTAAACGACTGCCTTCGGCTCAGGTCATGATCCTGGAGTCCCGGGATCGAGTCCCGCATTGGGCTCCCTGCTCGGCAGGGAGTCTGCTTCTCCCTCTGACCCTCCTCCCTCTCATGCTCTCTGTCTCTCATTCTCTCTGTCTCAAATAAATAAATAAAATCTTTAAAAAAAAAAAAAAAGGTTAAAAAAAAAAACAAAAAACTGCAATGGGGCGCCTAGCTGGCTCAGTCTGAAGAGCACGCGACTCTTGATCTTGGGGTCCTGAGTCCAAGCCCCATGCTGGGTATAGCGATGACTAAAAAAAAAAAAAACTTTAACAAAACTGCGTTCATTTTTCTTGCTTCCCTTCTAATTTGTTTTTCCTTTTCTTCTACATTCTACGTGAGGTTATAAATGTTGCATTCTGTCCAATAAATTCCTGACACTTGCCATCAGTCTTGGAGAAACTAGGCATAGGCACAGTGTCTCAGGCAAGACAAGACCTTCCACCTTCAGTTTCCCAAGGGTCTAATTATCCAGGGGGCGGATTCCAGCTATGCCCCTCCTGCTGTCTAGAACTCCTCCTAATAGCTACCATGGGAAGCCTACACACACACACACACACACACACACACACACACACGCACACGCGCACGCACGCACACACGCACACTGTTCTTCAGGGGGAGGGGGAGGGGGGCAGGAAAAGGGAGCAGAGAACAAAGGAGCAAAGGAGATAGGGGGTGGGCTTTAATTACATTACAAAGAAATGGAACCAGTTCCTAGATGTTCATGTTCACCCATCCTTTTGGTTTGTGGGTTTTAAAAACAGGAAGTTGACTCACTATATATATTTAAAGTATACTTATTTTAATAAGTCCGCAGGACTTATTAAAACGGACTGCTTGAACTGACAAAGGAGTTCTGGGAAAGTCCCCTCATTGTCAGGACCCCAGTCTTGTCCACCCACGGAGAGCAGGAGCCGGACAAGGTAGCTCCAAGACCCACCCGGAAGGTCCAGTGGGGCAGGATTCTAAGCGGGGTTTCTTGAGCTACAAGCAGAGAGCAGAGAGACACCTCACATTCACAGACACGAAAACACCTACTATGTCCAAGGCACAGTGCCAGAGGACACATGAGTTGAGGGCAGAAGTCAAGGTATAAAAAGCTGACTCCACACACTGAACAGACACGTGTATGTGAAGGGCATCCCCGACACACTACAGGAGTCTGGGGCAGCCTCTTCGGTGCTGGGAGGTCAGACAGGGGCAGTGCGTGGGAACCGTCAGACCTGATGGGGACTTTGAAGGAAGGCAGGGCTCAGAAGTGGAAAGGGAGAGCACCGCAGGCAAGGGATGGATGTGAACAGGAGAGCAGAGGCAGAAACATGCCTGGCAGGGTCCCTGACTGACGGGGTGTCTTAGGGAGGCACTGGCTCGGGTCACATCCCAAAGGCCCCTCCACACACACCCGCACCCTCAGAGTGGCGCTCGTTACTCATCTGACCTATAGGCGCTAGATGTGTTTGGTCCTTTGGATACAGCACCATCGAGGGGTATCTACACTGGGGCTATGTCATATAGATCGTGGGGGTCTGCATTTGGTGGCCTCTGGGGACAGCTCTCCCTAAACCCTCAGGACAAGGCTATGGGGCCTAGAAGAGCCCTGAGACTGGATACAAATCCTCTGGGACAGATAACCCCAGGCTATCACCACCAGCCCACAGCAGGTGAAGCTGGAGGCCTCTGGGCCTGTAGGCAAAGAGCCCCAGGCCCTGGCTGTCCCCCACACACCCTCACAGCCGTCCCTCACTGACCTCCATGATGTCTTTAATGATTGGGGTCCACCGCGAGAGCTGGTAGGTCTGCTCGCTGATGCGCTCCTTCCGCTCTGGCTTGCTCCTGCGGCGCAGTGTGGACTGAGTGCAAACACATGTGACATTAGATGGAGTCAGGGGTCATCTGGGCCCCTGCGACTCTGCTGGCCCTTGGAAATCGCTCCTGAGGACTCCCTTCAGAGAGTCAGCACTGGCAGAGTACGAAGTGGGAGGGGTTTTCCTGGAAAAGTCCAGCGTGTGCCCCTTGGGCTTTCGCCCAAGAACCTGGAGCAAACTTGGTTCTTTAAAGCCATGAAAAATGGGATATGTGGGTCAAACATATAAGTGTCATTCAAAAAACTCCTGGTAGTGGGGTCCCTCGGTGGCTCAGTCAAGCGTCTGACTCTTGGTTTCAGCACAGGTCATGATCTCAGGGTCATGGGATTAAGGCCTGCGTCGGGCTCTGTGCTCAGTGGGGAGTCTGCTTGAGATTCCCTCTCCTGGGACACCCGGGTGGCTCAATCAGTTAGGCGTCTACCTTTGACTCAGGTCTTGATCCCAGGGTCCTGGGATCAAGTCCCATATCGGGCTCCTTGCTCAATGGGGGGCCTGCTTCTCCCTCTGCCTGCCACTCCCTCAGCTTGTGTGCTTGCTTGCTCTCTCTCTCTGACAAATAAAATCTTAAAAAAAAAAAAAAGAGAGAGAGAGAGAGAGATTCCCTCTCCTACTCCCTCCCCCTCTGCCCCTCCCCCCACTGGTGCATGCATTCTCTCTCTCTCCCCATCTCTCTAAAGTAAATAAATAAAATCTTAAAAAAAAAAAAAAATCCTGGTAGTTAAAAACATAGTTTGCTTCAATTATAGGAGAAAAGACTGTTTTGGGTAGGACTTGGTCTTTGATTTTGCTTTGACAGTCTGGGTGCATGAGTAAACCATCTCCATTCCCATTTGGGTGCCTCTTGTGAAAAAGGGTCTAAAAGACCAAACTACCTCCAGTTCCAGGTCTCTGGTCTGGGCTCAGGGACAAAGTTTTTGACTCTAAGATTCCAAAAGAAGTACATTTGCAACTCCAGCTTTATAGCACCCTTGTGTGAACAACTCCCCATTGGAAGAAAGTATAGAGTGAGGTTCCCAGCAGAGAGATCTGAAGAGTGCTTGGGCCTCTTCCTTGAGTTCTGGAGACCCCCGACCCCCAGCCTCCTCTAGAGGGTGCAGTGTGGTCGGGCTTCCCAGACACCCTGCCCTGGCCTGGTTCTGAATCATCACCAGTGAAGAACCAAGTGGCAAACCTGCTTGATGCTAACTAAGCATTGTGCTCTCACCCTCAGAGAAGATGCTGGACCTGGGTGTGCAAAAGTAGACCAGACTGACCTCAAGACACAGAGAATGAAGCTGGCGTGACTCCTGTTTGAGGCTGGTGCAGACAAGCTCAGCTTTAATGACTCTGTGCACATCTTGGTTCTGGGAGTAACACTTCTATTTTATTATATCTCTATACCTTTATTCCTCCGATTTTATGTTTTTTCTTTCTCAATGTTGAGTGTATGTATCATAAGCCACCTTAAGTAAATCAGGAGAAAAGATAAGACACGCCAGCTTCTCTTCTGCCTCTCCCTCCCCATATGCAAGGCTGGCCCCTTACATCAGTGACAATGGGCACCCCCAGGTGCGCCATGTTGGTGATGATCTCGCTGTCCTCTGGGGGGATCTGGGCGTGCTGGATCAGTTTATTCAGGTTCTCCTCAGTGATGCCTGTGAGAACAAAACCCCTGGTCACCACACCCAACCACCATGCATCACACACTCAGAAGCAGAACCAGTCGCTTGAGGGGGGACAGTGTCCCTTCTCAGGGTTAGTAGAAATGAATCTTCACCACATCAACTTTACTGTAAGATGAGGACAAAATCAGCATTTCGATTCCACTCTAGCCACTCTGTCCCAGGCTTTGACCATCAGCAACTGCCCCATTATGGTCTATATTTCCACCCATCTCCTGCTTCTCAGCCATCCCTGCCCACCCCCACCCACATCGAAGTCAAGAGTCTCAGTGTCCATCTCCTGCACAATGGACACTTATGGGCAACTATAATGCGGGTAAAAATCAGTTATTTAAAGGCAGAGTTACCAATGTGATGCAAGTATCTGGCAGACATGCTCTCACAAACTGGCTTTGCAGTCAGTGGCCTCTCCCCGCTCCCACCCGTCCTCTTCCAGAGACGCCACACCTTTATTACCTCTAGAATTAATTGCCTGTAGTTGCAACACATTTGCTTACATTTCCCCAAATGTAAAGAGCCCCTGGGATCTCCGTATTAAATATCCTTTCCTGGGCGCCTGGGTGGCTCAGTCATTAGGCGTCTGCCTTCGGCTCAGGTCATGATCCCAGGGTCCTGGGATCGAGCCCCGCATCGGGCTCCCTGCTCTGCGGGAAGCCTGCTTCTCCCTCTCCCACTCCCCCTGCTTGTGTTCCCTCTCTCGCTGTGTCTCCTCTCTCTGTCAAATAAATAAATAAAATCTTAAAAAAAAAAAAATCTTTTCCATGTCTCCTAAACACTTTTCCACTTTGTCTTCTTTCTCCCACCTGCCTCATTTGCCCAAGGAAGGGCCTCTCCCCTCTTCTCTATCCCACCATTCCTACCATTCTTCAAAAAGATGTAGAGAAGGATGATGCGGATTTTGTCGTAAGTGCTGACATTTGCATCCAGCAGAATGGGGACGATGGCTCTCATGGGGTCCTTGATCTTCTCCCCTTCAGCATCCGTGCCCATGGCCAGGTCCTGCAGAAAACACACCACACTGGCCCCATTCCTGGCGACGGTCTGGATGGATGGGAACTACTAGACAACTGGTGGTCCATAAACGGGATTTGTCGCTTGGCTGGGGAAGGTCCTATGCAGGGGCTTCTGCTCTCACAAGGCCCCGTAATCAGCACTGGTGTCATCTGCATTGTTTTATATGGCGTCAGTGAGAAGTGATGACAGCCCCAGGGTTCACTTTGCAAAAACAGAAACCACCATGATTTTTTTGCCATCTTGTTTGAAGGTAGGCAGCTCCCTCCGGGTGAGTGCCTGTGTACCTGCGCTGACTCGGGTCAAGACTCAATCCTGGTGGGGCCTCTAGAGGTACAAAGCCCTGTTGAGGGATCGGGGCTGAAAGGGTTGCCTTCCCACACATGCAGAGCTTTGGCATTTTAAGGGGCCACTGCCTGGCTAGACTCTTCCCATGTGCTCCCCCTTGGTGTGGAAGGACATGTTTTTTGAGTTTTGAGCTACTACTCTATGTTTTTGACCTGTTTTTAATCTTCCAACCACTTTCAGGGCGAGGAGAAAAACAAGGGAAATCCAACCCAGGGAGATGAAGGGGGAGAGAGGGGCTGGCAAAAGAGGGAGGATGAGAGAGAGCACAGTGACGGCCCCTGCTTCACGACTCAGGCAAGAGTCACATCCACTGTAGAGAGACCAGAGAAGGCCGCACATCAGCCTCAGGAAACCATGAACCGTTCACTCTGTTCTCAGAGACCAATGGCTGCAACCCTCCCTGGAGCCCAGACAGGGCTCGCCTGAAGGTTCCCTCCTCTAAAGACCCCATGAGTCCATAACCATCATGGTCTCGAGTTCGTGGTCTGTCCAGGTCGAGGAAGGTGGGTGCCCCCAGACCCCTTCACCTCTCAGAGCCACCACCATCCTCAACAGACTTTTGTGCAGTGGGACCTGAGTCTAATACTCTCTAAAGGTCCAATTAAATGTAACGAGTTCAACAAATACTATGGAGCACTTCTGAAAAAATGTACGCTTCCAAGGATTCATCCTGACTGCATTTTTACTGATATAGGGATGCCCTATTTTCCAGACAGTCCAGTTCTTTTGGAGAGGATGCCCTGTGCTTGCCAAGATCGCCCATGAAACTGATGGACTTCTGCAGGGTCACTTCCCCTTGGAAGAGCATCACTGAATCGGGACAAGTCTGACAAACCCAAGCTGGCCTGTCACATCACGCTGGAAGATGTAAATCTTAGCTTCACACTGAGAACCTGAGCCGTTCTTTCTCACCGCAGCTTCACACTCGCTTAATGCCCTCCCTTGCCTTGGAAGCTGACCCTAGCTGAGGAATGTTCTCACACTTGGAGAATGGAGGGCCAGGATTAGTGACTCCACACACCACTCCTGGAAAATGTGGCAGCATTGTTATTTCCTTTTGCAGATGAGGAAAATAAAGCAGAAATAGGCACATCAAACAAATCAGTGACAGAGCAGAATTCAAATCCCAAACTGCTGACTTTCAGTCCTAATCGTGATCAGGGAGGCTGTGGGTGAGTTTCTGACATGCTACTGCACTAGCTTTTCTCAGCATCTACGTCTCCAAAGCTAGTGTGGCGACAGCAGGAGAAAAACACACTCAGAATATAAAACTCAGCCAGCCTTGTCAGTGTAGGGCTCAGAGATCCATATATCTCTCTTCAGACATTCCAAGGAGCCAGTAGAAAGTCAGACATGCAAAATCCAAATGACACAGCATTCCAGACCAATCTAGTCCCTACCATTGAGAGTGGAAGTGCATTGATTGGCTCCAGAGTTGAGACAACGTGATCTAGTAGACTTCTATATCCTATGATTCTGCGGGATGTTCAAGGTCAGATGTTACAATTCAGCTGGGTCAATGGGCATGGCAGAAAGAGAAGGAAAAGGTCCTACCTGTTCCACTCGGCAGAGTTTATCCACGGTGCCTTGGTAATGCTTCATGCAGTCTTCGGCCAGGTGCAGGTGAGTCGAATACTGGGAAAAAGCAGAGTGTGTGTGATCAAGAAATCACTCACTCACAAGAAATCACTCATGCAACGTCTACTGAGCTCCTACTACGTATAAACACTATGCAGTGCAAAAAGGAGATTCCAGCCTCATAAAGGAGATAAAACATGCATTCCAGCAGGAACACAAACATCATGACAGAAAATTCTGTGTGTCAAAAGAAAGGGACAAATTGCATTCCTAAAGGAGGCAAGTGGAGGGAGGAATCCTTTATGGGGGTAGGGTGGTACAATGGTTCTACAATGTATCCACGAATTCTTTGATACCCCTCCTTCCAGGAGGTGGAGCTTAATTCCCCCCTCCTCGAGTGTTGGTTGGATTCAGTGACTCGCTTCTAACAGAGTGTGGAGGACATAATGTAGGACATCCCAGGTCAGGACAGAAAAGGCACCGTGACTTCCTCCTGGCTCTCTCCCTCAGGTCACTCACTCTGGAGGAGGCCAGCTGCCATGTCATGAGCACATTCAAACAGCCCAGGGGAGAGGCTCATGAGGTGAGGAATTGAAGGATAAAGAGAGAAAAGATGAAGAGGAGAAAAGAAAGTCATAGGAAATAAGTTATCCAGCCTTTCAGCTTTTCCTAATAAAACTGGAAGTTGATTAAAAACTTGTGGATTTCAATGTATCAGTCAGTACAGTGGGGCTCTGAGAGGTCTTACTGCAACTGTTTATACTCAAGATTCAAACCCATCATTTGGGATGGTCGTACCTTGCTGAGCTCTTTCTGGTACTGGGGCATCTTCTTCAGCATCTGGGACAGGTCCCGCATGGTAGTCTACAAGGGGAAGGAAAACATATGGTCTCACTGCAATGGCCCTGACCTAGGAGGCTTTGCAAGGGTGGTGGGCACAGGGCAGGACAGGAGCCAGCACCAGACTTCCAAGTGCATGCTCAGAAACTCTCGAATCTGTTAAGCCCAAGATCACCGTGGGTTTAGATTTCCAGGCCTCTGGTTCAAAAAATTATTGATCCAAATACCATAACTGCCTTATAGGTGGGGAAGTGAACTCCAAAGGGTAGCAATTATGTTTTATTTATTGGACTAGAAAGTTACTGAGAGCATAATTCTTGCCAGGAAAGAGCAATTTTTCTTCCCCGTGCTGCCTTTCTGCATACTCAGCTCAAGCAGTCTTGAAACTGAGTTCACATTTCATCCCAGCAGAAAGGCTACAGTTGTGTAGACAGAAAGAAAGAAGGAAGAAGCTGGGAAAGGGCTGGGACGTGCATCCTGACAGGTGAAAGAGGTCTGTTTACTTGCTAACTGTGTGACCCACCTAATTCCACTCTTATCCAACAAAAATTTATTGAATTACTACCATATACCAGGTGAGGTGCTGGAGATACAAGATCAGAACAAACAAACAAAAAAGAGAGCTTCTTGCCTTTTTGTGGAGCTACCATCTAGCAGAGGAGCCATTCCGACTGAGATGATTAGTGTTCTTCGGAAAATCACAAGTGTGGATGCAGAGGTGCAGAGAGGCACCTCACTAGTCTGGGGGGGGTGGTGGTAGGGAAGGTTTCCCTGAGAAAATGATGCCTGAGCCAAAGGACCAGGACTTCACAAGGCAAGGTCCAGGCAAGGAACTCAGGCAAGGTGGTGGGTACAAGCGGGTAGGGGGCAGACCTGAGAGTCTGGGGAGCCTGATGGCCTGGTGCTATAAGGTGTGTCCATGAGTGAGTGAGACTTGATTCTACCGGGAACAGAGTCACCAAATGGTTTTAAGCAAGCTTAAAATACAGTCAGAGCTGTATTTGCCTTGACCACGATGGGTAAACCACCTCTGCTGAACCCATGTCAGGGTAAGGAGAGGACCAGGCAAGTTATGAATTCTAATTCCACCACAAGCTAAAAAAGGTTTCATAGTTCCTCTGGCTTAAACTGAATTATGATCTAAAACAGTAAATATTAATCTTCAGGGTAACAAAATGAAGATCTCTATAAACATCAAAAGATGAGGGCTCCGATCTCAATCTTGAATGCAAAAATAAGACAAAATGATATCAGATGAAGAGGTGACAATAACCTCCTAACTTACTAGTCCTGTGCCATAGAGGCACCCTGCCGACCAGCTCTCAGAAAGAAGACAGGGATTAGCCTAAAGGACATTGGAGCTCTAGTATGCATTTACCTTCTCTCCAGTATTCATTCTCTTGCTGGAAGAAAAATCTTTCAGAGAACGGGTGACTTCCCTAGAAGACAGAAGGAGGCAGCTAAGTTTCACAGCAACGCCTTGGGCCTCCATGTGGATGCTACAGAAGTGGTGCGACATTCTTCCTTTAGGAATATGTGGCAAGTTTTCCTGCCAGTAAGGTATGCATTTAAAGTGATTTTTGAAGAAGAGAGAGAGGGATACATCATTTTCCTAACTAATATTCTAAACCAGGGTCTCCAGAGGGGGGTGTACGGGATGATTGGAGAGAAGAAATTATTAGTACATCTATTTATGTTTACTTTACTCCATCCTTAAATTTATACTTTTGTATATACTGTAAAACATACATATTACTACAATTAACTATATAGTTAATTCATAAATAAACCTGCATATTGGAAATGTGAAGCAACATTTTCCTAAGGTTGAGTGATCCGAAAAGTTTGGGGCCACTTTTCTGAACAACTGAACTATCCAAGACTGTGTTATTTTCCCACTCTTCCTTGTGAACTTACTGAGGATATCACCAACTCAATGTAGCAGACAGAATGTCTTTCTGCAAGGGGCACCTGGGTGGCTCAGTCGTTAAGTGTCTGCCTTCAGCTCAGGTCATGATCCCAGGGTCCTGGGATTGAGCCCCGCATTGGGCTCCCTGCTCGGCGGGAAGCCTGCTTCTCCCTCTCCCACTCCCCCTGCTTGTGTTCCCTCTCTCGCTGTGTCTCTCTCTGTCAAATAAATAAATAAAATCTTAAAAAAAAAAAAAAAGAATGTCCTTCTGCAAAAGCAGAATTTTTATTTATAGCTTAAAGGTCTTAGAAAAACATTCAGGTGTGGGGCGCCTGGGTGGCTCAGTCGGTTGGGCGACTGCCTTCGGCTCAGGTTATGATCCTGGAGTCCCGGGATCGAGTCCCGCGTCGGGCTCCCTGCTCAGCGGGGAGTCTGCTTCTGCCTCTGACCCTCCCCCCTCTCATGCTCTCTCTCTCTCATTCTCTCTCTCAAATACATAAATAAAATCTTTAAAAAAAAAAAAAAAAGAAAAACATTCAGGTGTTAGGGGCACCTGAGTGGCTCAGTTGGTTAAGCATCTGCCTTTGGCTCGGGTCATGGTCTTGGGGGTCCTGGGGTCAAGCCCTGGTGCCAGTCTAGTGGGGCTCCCTGCTCAGCAGGGAGTCTGCTTCTCTCTCTGCCTCTGCCCCTCCCTCCCGACTGTGCACTCTCTCTCAAATAAATAAACAAAATCTAAAAAAAAAAAAAAAAATTCGGGGTGCCTGGGTGGCTCAGTCGTTAAGCGTCTGCCTTCAGCTCAGGTCATGATCTGGGGTCCTGGGATCAAGCCCCACATTGGGCTTCCTGCTCAACAGGAAGCCTGCTTCTCCCTCTCCCACTCCCCCTGCTTGTGTTCCCTCTCTCACTGTCTCTCTCTCTGTCAAATAAATAAAAAGATCTTTAAAAAAAAAAAGAAAGAAAGGGGCGCCTTTCGTCTGCCTTCGGCTCAGGTTATGGTCCCAGGGTCCTGGGATCAAGCCCTGCATCGGGCTCCCTGCTCGGTGGGGAGCCTGCTTTTCCCTCTCCCATTCCCCTGCTTGTGTTCCCTCTCTTGCTGTGTCTCTATCAAACAAACAAATGAAATCTTAAAAAAAAAAAATTCAGGTGTTAAGAAACATTTTGAAACATCTTCAGAGCAAGGTACGGGTTCTGTATATACACATTAGCTCTTGCTTGGAAATTTTAGGGATGACAGCAGCGGAAGAAGATGACACACCGGCTATATAAAAGAAAATCGAACTGATGCAGTGTAATCTGGATCTTTCAGTGGAAGGAACTGGCTTTATTTATTTATTTATTTTTAAGTAGGCTTTATGTCTAACGTGGGGCTTGAACTCACGACCCTTAGAGCAAGAGTTGCGTGTTCTACTGACTGAGCCAGCCAGACGCCCCAGGCACTGGCTTTAAACATTTGGTGTTTACAAAGCATTTCCTGAGAGCTACGGATGTTTTCGAAAAATACTAAGAGCTACCTGAACACAGTGGATTTTCTCACTTGGCGAAGTTGGTGTCACTCGCGCTGAGATTAGAAGGGCTTCCTCATCACTGGTTATCATGTGGGTGAATCCATCCACTGAGCAGCTCTGTGCAAGCTGCCCAGAGTGTGCACATGAGCAACTGCCATCTGGAGAAAGGGTTTTGCCTGCACTCTGGGGCGAGCCCTGGAGCTGGGCCGGCGGGGAGGCCGGGGTCCCTGGGGAGGGGCGGAGGCAAGGGGCTCTTACTGGGACACTTCCGCGATGTGCTTGTGGCGCAGTGCTATCCAGAGGTCGTCATCCTCGTCCAGGAGCACCTCCTTCACCCGTGCCTCTCCAATGCCACTTGTCTCGTACCTGGAGAGGAGACAGCCCCACGAAATTCATCCAGCCCCCTCCGATTTGCAACAGACGAGAGCCTACGGTCTCGGCCATCTGAGGGGTCACTGTGTGACTGGTGTGCGGGATCAGCACCTGACACAGCAGCAGTTTCTCGGGCAGGGAGAGACCCAGAGTCAATGTTTTAAAATCTGCAGGGTCGGCCGGTATGTGCTCGTCAGGATACAGGTGGGTTCAGAGCTGCTTGTGAGGGAAAGTCAGAGATCACGCTTGCTCCTTCCTGGGAAGGACCAGGATACCGTCCTCAAACATGTGGTACCTAAATTTTCAGTTTTAAAATCAGGTACCTGCAACAGGTCCTCCACATATTTTTACATGTGAAATCACGAACATCTAAGGGAAAGCAAGAATTACAAGTACCAGCAGGGAGGAAAACTGACATTCAGTCACAGTTTTAGAACCTTAGTTTTGAAACCAAATGAGCACAATACAGTCTGTTTCCAAAGAAAGAAAAATTAGTTTTTAGAAACTGAGTTTTGGGTGATGGTTACCAAGAAAAATGTTGCTTATAATGAAGAAAACAGCTCCTTTGCAAATAAAGGTCAGTAAGAAACTTCTGTTGATACATTTTATGATATTTCATGACCTATAAAGAAGTTTTAACTCTGAATAAGATATGCATACATGTGGGGGCACAGACACACACATCCACACACCTCAAGCAGGCTCTCAGCTGAGGTGACATGAGCCGTGAAGTAAAGATCTAAAATTCTTGTTCTCCCCCAAAGGCGCACGAGCTCCTGGCTGCTAATGCCCCATAGATTTGGGAACTCACAGAAGAGCTTGCAGGCCCATTAGCAAGACTATCAATGCACCTGCCTTTCCTAGGATGAAAGACATCCTTTTTCTCAGGTTAGAGGTGCATCTGGTTTGCTTGCAAAGCCGTACTGGGTCTGTACACTTACTTGTATACATCATTTTCAATGGGCAGCAGGTCATAGCTCATAGCCTGAAAAGTCAGTTCATGAAGCACGGGGGAGCTGGGGTCGAAGCCGCGGTCCAGGATCAGGAGCTGGGAGCGCGCCTTGTCTGGGCCCTGGAAGGACAGACACGGAAGGCTTTCACAAGCCACCCATCCAACTCCAGTCTCTCCCACTGGTGCAGCTGCCCCTCCTGTAAAAGCAGCCCCAGGAAGTGACCTCTGAGATAAAACCTGCTAAAATAGCACTGACTAGTCCCATTTGCTGCTTGACAGGAACACCAGTAAACACCATGCAAAAATCCAGTATGCCTATTTCCTAATGAGGGTCCTTTAAAGTAGATCCAAAACTGTGGCTGGGGTCCAGAGTGAGCTTATGAAGGAGAGCACCACCTGGGTTTGCTTATAAATAGGGTGACCCACCATCCGGTCTGCCTGGGACCCAGGGGGTTCCCAGGACCCGGGACTTTCAGTTTTAAAATTATGATAGTGACAGAACAGTTCTGTCCTGATTGCAGTGGGGGTTATGTGAATCTCTACATGTGATGAAATTGCACAGAACCATCCACACATGTGAGCACACGTACAAACTAGTCAAATGTGATTAAGGGCTGGAGACTGTGCCAGTATCAATTTTCTGGTTTTGATACTGCACTTACTATTGAGGGGGTTCCCAGGACACGGGACTTTCAGTGCTAACCCTGGGCAAGTCCCAGCAAACAGACACAGGTTGGGCACCCTACACGGAGCAGAATCTGCATCCTCCCCACCCAGTGCTTGAGCATCTCACTGAAGGCCAGTGTGTAGGACAGTGGCACCCATGCACACTCCGGGAGCGACAGAACCCAGCTGTCCCCAGGACTGCCATACAAACACTGTGGTCACTTGGCGAGAGAGCCACGTGCACCAAGTCCAGACTTACCTCGCCCATTGTTGGGTCATCGGCTTTGTAGGCATCGAGCTTGTCCTGGATTAGCTGAGCCAGCAAAGCATTGTCCTTGTATTCCCTGACAAAGGAGGAGTGACAACAGGGTGAACCGGCCATGCACCCACCCGACGGCACTGACTGTCCTCAGGGTGGAAGGCAGGAAGTGCAAGGAGGGTCAGGGGAGATAAGCTTCACCTGTATTGTTCTTTTACACTGAGGATATATTCATGTATTACACATACAATTTAAAATGACAAATAAAACGCTTTGCTCAGTGCCTAGAACATAAATGATTTTCTAGTTCCTTTAAAAAAAAAAATCCAGGGGCACCTGGGTGGCTCAGTTGTTAAGCATCTGCCTTCGGCTCAGGTCATGATCCCAGGGTCCTGGGATCGAGCCCCGCATCGGGCTCCCTGCTCCGCGGGAAGCCTGCTTCTCCCTCTCCCACTCCCCCTGCTTGTGTTCCCTCTCTTGCTGTGCCTCTCTCTGTCAAATAAATAAAATCTTAAAAAAAAATCTCCAAATGGATATAGAGGCAGTCTTTCCCACTGGCTTCAGAAAAACCACCCCACTTCAACAGAGGGTCCTGGCCATCCACTCTCCTCCCATGATCAGGTTGTCTGAGCCTCACCCACCTGATTCTCACTTCCCTCAATTCAAATTCCCTTGGGTCTTGTTTTGTGTGGCTCGCAGGTGACACTTGTGCTGGCAGAGCCAGAAAGATGTAAGTGAGAGCTGGTGGACCTTTCCCCTTGGCCAGGCCCGACAGCACTTCCTGGGGCTCCTCCCAACTGTATAGAGGGTGTGGCTGCTGCCTGTCACCTGGCCAGGCTCAGTGCTGAAGCTGCTCCATTCCCATTCCACCCCCTCCACAAATGAACTCCAAGCTCCCCCGACCCTGTCAGGAGATATGGCCTGGCCCCCGTTTCTTAATTTCCAGCAGGCTTTTGTCAGGGAATACCAATAATAGAGGGAGGGGCTCTTCCATGGCTGCACACTCCAGCAGACAAGGAGTCAGTAAGGACAGGCTGCCACGATGGTCCTTGGCACCGCCAGTTCAGGCCCTTCGCTCCCCCTGCCGCGGCCACCCCCCTGGGTCTCCCTGCCTCCCTGCTGCTCTCACTCCCCTGTGCAAATTCCCCCAGAGGTCCCCACTGATAACCACTAAATGACATCATCCCAAGCCTGGCCTCCAGGGCCTCCAGGAATGGCTTCAGAGTTGCCCCGCTGAGTTGCCCTCCAGAGACGCCCCACAGCCCTCCACAGTCACTCTGCCAGGATGCCAACCCTCCTCAAATTTGCCCTTTGCTTTGCCAACTCCAAACTTCCGTTCATCCCAACGGCAAGAGCCACCTGTCCACACAAAGTACTCTGTGCTCCTCATTGGTCTACTGAAATCCGAAACTGCCCTTTAAGACCTTGTTCAAATGTCACCTCTGGTCTGAAGCCCTTCTTGACCCCCTCAGCTCAAAGGGCCCTCTCCTGACTCTGGATGTCCAGGCCCTTGTCCTGTGCTCAGGCACTGGCCTCGCAGGCCCTGTAGTTTAGGTGTGCACGCCTTATGCACACAGGTGTCGGGATGCGTGTTACCTACCCTTCTAGATCAAGGGCTTCTAAGCGCCGGGGCTGTGTCTTCAAGATAAGTACTCTCTCCCCAGCACTAAGCACACAGCAGATAAGTAGTAAGTGAATGACTTTATAAAATCTAGGGAATATGTCCTTTGGAGAATTATCCTTGTATTTTTTCTTACTCCAGAACACCTTCTACAAAGACGGTATTTGTTTTGAAAGGTTAGAAAGAGCTAAAAAACCACAGGAAGCCTGGACTGTGGTTACACAGGGGTTCACATTTAGCTGTTCAGTAATTGAATATATATATTTCATGCCCTTTTCTGGATGCATTATTACATTTCACAATAAAATTTAGAGACTATCAAAAACATTGGAAGAACGATTATAAATGCAAGATACTCAAATCTTGACCCTCTTGAGGCAACTGCCAGAGGAATCTCAAGATAAAAGGAAGCTACACGCCCGGTGGGCACATGGAGGCCGCTGAAGGCAGACTGGCATGCTGCCTTACCCCCGGTACCGTACAGCTGGGTACTCCTTCAGGGTGGCACACAGAGTTGCAATCTGCTCTGCCAGGCGCTCCAGTATAGGATTCTTCATCTGAGCCTTGTGGGGACTGTAGAAGCTCTGGAAAGAGTCTGCAGAGTCCAAGGAGTACACCTGAGAAGGAAAAGAAACAAGAAAAAAAGTTATATATCATGTTTGCATCCAGAAGGGTGAACCGCTGGGAGTTTTCTCCAACCTTGGTAGTGAGTCTATAAACATATTCTCATTTATTCCACAAATATGTGCTGGGTGTCTGCTGCAGGCCGGGCATTGTGCTAAACACTTGGGAACTATCAGTAACCAAAACACGACTGTCCTCGAGGAGTGTGCAATCTTACAAAAGAATAACATAACCATAAACAATAAGCATAATGAAAAGTAAACTATATGATATGTGAGAAACTGGTTTAAGTGTATGAGAACATGACAGAGCAGGGAAAGAATGCCTGGAGGGCCGCCGGGAGGGAGGACAGCAGGCCTCCTTGAGAAGGTGATGTACAAGCAAGGGCTTGAAGGAGGTGAGGAGTTTCTCACCAGCAGGAGACTTCCACATGGAGGCAATAGCTAGCGCCAAGGCCCTGGGGCAGGCACATGCTCAGAGTGTCTGATGAACAATGAGGAGGCCAGAAGAAGAACAGGAGAGGAGATTAGTATAAGACCTTCTAGGCCATTATGAGTTTAGGTTTTTGTAAGTAAGGGACAGGCTGGAAATCATCTGTGACTGGGGCAGATAAAGGAGCTTTTTATGGATTTGATAATTTCCTATCCTCAGTAATACACTGTCAGTATTTTTCTTCTTATTCTAGAAGTTTAAAATTTCCTCTTAAATTACCTAGTCTATCAGCTATCAGTAATTTCTCAGAATCTCACTTTTGTCAACTACCTTATCTTCTAGAAAACCTGTGGTTAAAAAAAAAGTTTATTACTTTTTAAAAATATATGAAATGTAATCTGGTTGAATATACTAAAGTTGTGTTTTGTTAAATCCAGGTAGGCTCATACAGAGAAAAAAATTCCTGCCTTTAAGCTGGAAACAGGCCTGACGTTAAGTGCTAAGGGAAAGACACTGTCTTTAAGTGTTCACACTGTATGTTCTCCATCCCTCCTTACCCAAGAACAGGTCACTCTCCGATGTCTAGAAGCTGATCTATAAAGATGCCATAAGCCACAGTCAACTTTTACAAAATACCTAAGAGTTCTGTTAGTTTTGTTTCTTATTTGCCAGGAGAAGACATGTTAACCGATCTTACAAAATGAAGATATAAATTTTGTATGCTCTCTCACAATCAGCTTCACCTTTACTGGCTTAACAGCCTAGTTTTTTTCCCAAGGGGAGAGGTTTGTCGCCACGCTCCAGCATCTGAAGTGTTAACAGCCACTGACGAAAGCTACCATCTGCTCCTCCAGCAGAGCGTGAGGGAGGTGATCTCTGCACAAAACCAGTCTCCCGTGCAGCAGATGGGTGTTGTCTGATCCCTTCCCCTGCTCTCCTTCCCTGCTCTTTCTGGACTGGCTACCTTTGGTTATTCAAGGAGTCAGCCAGTAGGAGCGAACACTGTGAGCAAGGATGAAATGCACACAAGGAAAGGCGTGAGGGCTTTAAAAAAAAAAAAAAAAAGTCAGAAATAACCAGAGAGTAAGATGAGGGCCTCAGGCAGACCCGTAAGGAACACTTGTTTCCATTCCATCAACGTCCACTTACGACAGGTCATTCGGCAATTCAGAATACGATGTCTTCCTCCCCCACTCTGCTTACTGCACCCCTGTCAGGACCTGCCAGAGCTCCTGATGGAGCAGCGAGGATGCAAACTTTCTACACACTCCCCACTCAGCCTCACCTGGGACTCGTAGGGGAGAAATGCAATGTTGATTTCCGTCAGAGTTTTGATGACTTTGGCGGCCCGAGATTTCACCAGCTCATTAAACAGGGCATCTGGACAAGCTGCAAGAAGGACAAAAGACAGCAAGTTTTCCCATCCATTTCAACAGTTGCACACATCTGGGGGATTTTCTATTTTATTAGGATTTTAAGAAGGCAACTAGAAAGTTCGTCCCATCCTAGAATATCCCCTATCTCTAGGGTACAAAAGGAATGTAAAATCACCCAAAAGGCCCTCAACATCTAATAGAGAAGAAATGGCAAAAAAGACTGAGATACTGAGAGCTAATTAGCTAATAAAACTACTTTCTGAGATCAAGCAAAGGAAAAAACCCAAGGGATAAGGAAAAGGCCTGTGATACGAACAGACACGACACATCTGACATGTTTATGAAAAATGCAATAAGGAAAAATGAAACCACTGGCAAGGTGGTGTAGGCATTTCTCTGGGATGCAGGCAGGAGCTCGGCTGCACAGGAGACCCACTTGATGGGGAAACTGGGACTGCCAGGGGCTCTCCTGGGCCAAACAAATGGGTTTGTGTTCTCAGAAAAGCATTTTCGGTTTATTATTACTAATGTCACCTCTCTGCTCCTTTTTTATGTATATCCAAATAGTATACAATTACTCTTTGCAAGAACCTTTCCCATTTCCTCAGTGGTGAGCTCTGTGGGGCTTTCCCTAAAGAGAAGAACGGTGGGAGCACTGCTATTGCTGAAGTTTTAAGTTAGCCAGCTCAACTCCTCTCTCTTTGCTCTTAACAAAGATTGACCAAGATGATTCTGCACTAGGCTCCATGCGCAAAACCTCCACAAAATAAGAAAGTGAATTCCAGGACAATGATGCAGTTTCCGTCTGCTCCCATCACCGCCAGACTGGACTATTTTTGTAGTTGAAAAACTGATGAAAATACAACACAGTTTATGGTGATACCTGGAAGTCTATTCAGTGATACATCAAAGCTAGCACTGGAAAATTATTCTCAGCATTAAACCCTCTAGTCCTTAGGAGAGATGCTATTTTTCATCAGGAAGGACGGCATGACCGAGTAGGTTTGTCTTTGTATGTGTTTATTTTTGTCTCTTATGCAATTTATCTTCTGAAGAGAGTATAAAAGCTCAGGAGAAACATGGCAACAACCCATTTCTTCCCTACTGATCAGCCTTGCCGTGCAGAAGCGCTAACCTGGAAGGACAGGGGTGGCACCTGCCAGCTGCACTTACAGTCTGTGAAGAAGACGTGCGCAGCCCGGTACTTAGCGGTTGGTGGGTCCTTGAAGTCACTGATGAGAGAGTGGACAGACTGTAGAGAGGAAAAAAAGAGGGAACTGAATGCAGTTCTAGAAGCAAATGGGACCTACATCTGAACTGGGTTAAATCCAAGCTGCCTGTGCAAAATAGTAGGGGATTTTTTAATGTATAATTCATGTTTGCCCGTAACGGAGTTCTGAAGACTTGAAATTAGGGTTGTTTCAGAGTTTAGATGAACGAAGCCTTCTTAGCTCATTCCGGAAGACAGAGTCTGCCCTTTGGAGGCACTGTAACTCGGGTTCCTGAGAAGACATTCACAGAAGAGGAAACTGGTCAAATACTTCCCAGGAAACTCATACTGATGAAGTTCTGGCAACTTCAGATACAAGCCAGTTTTCAAAAGTGAAAAGAAAGGGAATGGAAAACTGAGGGGAATTTATACAGATTAAGAGACCTAACGCAAGGAGGTGCATCTTGTCTGGATACTGACTTGAACCAACCTCCCAAAATGTTAAGACAGGTAATTTTCAACACAGCCTGGATATGATGATACAGACCCAAAAGTATAAAATGCCAGAGTTCTGAAGGTGGGTCACTAATTAGACACAGTGGATCTCCTCCGTAGAGAAGGAGTGCAAGAGGGGGGAATTAGACTGACCCGGGCCTGGCCTTCTGGACAGCGGTGGTATTTCAGAGAGCTTAATGCACTCTCACTCCACACTGCACCCCTCCTTCCCTGTTTGTGGATTGCACGCTTAATCAGAGCAGTGTGTTAAATGCGCGCTTAACCTAGAAATGTCAGACACCGCGCCACAGACGCCAAGCCAGCATGTGCAACCTTAGCCAAAGCTCCTCCGGGGGTGGGACTTGCCTTCTCAGACGGAGTGATGAGATACACAGCCTCCAGGCTGGGGAGCGGCTCTCTGCGCTTGTTGATGTCTTCCACGACTAGACAACAAACAGCAACCCACAATCAATAAGAAAACAGAACCAGTGATCATAGAACTAGAAACAATCTAGACAGGCCCCCTTCAGACTGCTGCAGGTGAGGGTTGGAAATCACTTACCCCTTCCTTGGAGTTACCACATTCCACTGCCTCACAACGCTCAAGAGGTTAGAAAACCTGAAATTTTATCACACTAAGTATTTCCCTTTTCAGTTTAAGTAAACCCTTTGATCTCATGGTTAAAAATGGAAAATCCTACCTCTTTCTGTCACCAATAGTCTTTTACCCCTTCCTTCTGTTTTTTTCTCATCTGTCCTAAATAATCCCAATTCCTTTAGAATTTCCAGGTGGAGTTTATCAACAATTGGATAGTTTTTATCATTTTCTTCTGTATGTCACATGAAGATATTCCAAACATGCCCTCTGTATAACACAGTCCTTCCCAATAGTTCAAAGACTAAACATATTTTGTTAAACCACAAGCATTTGGTTTGCTTGTTTCTTTTACAGTTATGTCAGCTACTTCACCTGGGAAGAAGAGCTTCTGGGATAATCCTCATCTTACCAGCCACCCGATAAAGCTTAGGATATGCTATCTCTGCTGTACTGCCCTCTGGTATAGAGAGAACAGTACAATCACTTGGTGCCATTCTTCCCATGCAGAGGATTTAAGCAAATAAAAGTATCACTTTTGGATGATATCTTGTAACATTTATAAAGACTTTTCACCCCAAATAATGTTCAAATACCGAAATCCTTCAACCACCTACTTTACCAGTAATTATAGATTTCTGAATTTCATATGCGAACAATACTTCCCCCCAAATGTTTTGGGGGTTCCACACAGGATTGCTAACTTTTCAATTTTGCCAAGCAAAGAGCTTTTTTAGAACCCACCTTGGGAGTAGGGAAAAGTCTGTGTGCAGCAGGGGAAGAGCTGAACCTTCATCTACCACAGGGAGCTAAAAGATAACATCTACCATCAATGAATCCAAAGATAATAGGCTAAGTATTTATCTAGAAATAGCAAAAGGATAACCAGAAGAAAGCGCACACCCTGAGGGAGAAAGGAGGGGGGGCCAGGATGCTGCTGCTTCTTCATTAGAAGTTCCTTAGCTCCATTTGGCTCTATCGCCCCTTAACTTGTGCATTTTTTGCTTTGAGAGAGGAAAAAAATAGCTTTAAAAATTCAATGAAGAGGGACGCCTAGGTGGCTCAGTTGGTTAAGTGACCAACTCAGGTTGTGATCTCAGGGTCCAGGGATGGAGCCCCTCACTGGGCTCCTCACTCAACAGGGAGTCTGTTTGGGATTTTCTCTCTCCCTCTCCCTCTGCCCCTCTCCCGGCTCTCTCTCTCTCTAAAATAAATAAATCAATGAATCTTAAAAAAAAATACAATGAAGAAAATAACTTTGTAAGCTCAAAACAGGGGCAAGCCTAGTCTTTGCTCACTGAATGAGAAGAAGTCACAGTAAAAACTATGTATTCTCATTTACAGGACTAGGTTTCTGGTGACAGATACACTGGATTTGGAAAAGTGTTTTTAGAAATGAAGGACTTGGGGCACCTGGGTGGCTCAGTCAGTTGGGCGACTGCCTTCGGCTCAGGTCATGATCCCAGGGTCCTGAGATCGAGTCCCACATAGGGCTCCCTGCTGAGTGGGGAGCCTCTTCTCCCTCTCCCACTCTCCCTGCTTATGCTCGCTCACTCTCTGTCAAATAAATAAAATCTTAAAAAAAAATTTAAAGTAAAAATGAAGGACTCGGGCTCCTGGGTGGCTCAGTTGGTTAAGCGACTGCCTTCGGCTCAGGTCATGATCCTGGAGTCCCGGGATCGAGTCCCACATCGGGCTCCCTGCTCAGTGCAGAGCCTGCTTCTCCCTCTGACCCTCCCCCCTCTCATGCTCTCTGTCTCTCATTCTCTCTGTCTCAAATAAATAAATAAAATCTTTAAAAAAAAAAAAAAAATGAAGGACTCACATCCAAGGTGTGATTATACCCCCAAATTATTACATATATATTCATATGTATATATTTCACATAGAATTCAATAAGAAAATCCATGATATATTATCACCATAATTTCACAATTTAAAAACACTTTAACACCAAATAATAGGAAAGACATAATCTTAGAATAAAGGACAAACCGTTGAATTAAATTAATTTAGCTTAACGAAATCTCAACCCTCCTAGTTCTTCCTCCATAGTTGTGGTTTGGTAGTAATTTTGATAAAGACCAGCAATAGTCTGCAAGCCACACGTCATATGAAGTCTCCAGGGGAAAAAAATTAGGAAGTAAATTGCAACAGGTGTGTTCCACCCAACATTTTTTTTTCAGAGGAAAAACAAAGGTTAACTTCCTTGTTTGAAACAATAGCTCAGAAGGTATTGCTTTTCAATCTTCTGAGATAACTCAGAAGAGAATACTATTCCAAAGATTAAAATACAGGATCCCTCTTGAAAGGAGCCCCTGAGTAACACAAGAGCTACACACAAATGTGAATAAGAGCTCAAGGACAGGAGCCAGAGGTCTGAGTCCTAGTCTCAGGTGTGAGACACTGGCCAGTGACCTTGAGCAGGTGACTTAACTTTTTTAAAAAGCCTATTTGTTGTGAAATTATAACACACAGTCCAAAGAGTGAATAACACATAAACATACAGATAATTACAAAGTAAACACCTGCGTAAGTGCCTCCCCAGTTAGGAAACAGAACTGGCCAGGACTAATAGAAGTGCACTTGCCATACCCTCACTCCCCTCCCTCCAGAGAGAACCACTGTCCTGACTTGAATGAGATCACTTCTCTTCATGGTTTTACCACGTACACCTGCATTTCACAATAGCATAGCTTAGTTCTGCCTAGTTTTGAACTTTATATAAATGAAAGCACACTGTAAGTATTCTTTTGTATCTTGTTTCTTTTGCTCAACATTATGTATATCAGATCTACCCATGTGCTTGTGAATAGCCAGAGTTCGTTCATTTTCGTTGTCTATAGTATTCTGCTATGTGACTATACCATGATTTATTTAAACAATGCTCCGTGAACATCCCTGCATGTGCATTCTGGGCACACATGCCTGAGATTGTCTAGGACACACGTCTAACCGTCTGGCTTGCAGGACACACACACCTTCAACTCTATCAGACACTGCCAGTGTTGTTCAAAGTAACCATACTAATAAACACTCTGTCATACAGGAGTTCCCATTTTTCTACATCCTATCTGTCACTTGGCATTAACAGAATTTAAATATTCCAATCTGATGAGTGTATAGCAAGATCTCATTCTGGTTTTAACCAACTAACGTAGGTGGGCAATGTTTCATGGATTTCTTGGCTATTTGGATCTCTTCTTTGTTAAGTGGCCATTCAGGTCTTTTGTGCACTGTTTCTATTGGTGGCCTGCCTTCTTCCCCTTGATTTAACCTGCCTTCGGCACCTTTACCAGATATTTAATGATCGTCCAGTACTGTATTGGGTGCTAGGGATTTAGCGATAAACAAGAAAGCCTTGGGTCTCTCTCAAGAACTTACAGCCTTACCACCCGGGTTGTTGGAAGAACGTGAAGTCAAGTGAGATAATAATGAATAGGGAGGGGGAAAGCTCGCCAGAAAGAGGAGGCCTGAGTTTCACTCAAGGGCGGAGAGAGAGCTGCGCTCACTTGTTATCCCCTCGGTCATGATGTCTGTCATCTTACAGCAGGAAGACAGCATCCTCATGCTCAGCTGATCGACCACCAGCACCTGGAAGCAAAAAGAACAGCTTACGGCTTGCATGGGATTTGCTATGATTCTCTCATCAGCTTACTGTGTCAGACTTCAAAAAGTGCTCCAGAAAAATAGAATATTAAGTTATAAATACTTCTTATGGGCCAGAAGTTTGCTAACATACATGCTAGCTTTTCTCGCCCATGCCACACCCAAACCTAACCTTCTAGGAGTTAAGAGTTTGTTCTTGCTGACTTAATTTTATAAGCTTAAAAAATTAAAGTTTTTCCATGATGAAGAAAATGACTACTCATAAAAAAGGCAAAAAAAAGAAAAGAAAAAAAATCATCTACAGCACCCACACTCAGAGAAAACCATACTGGAAATTATTTTTTCAGAGCATAAGCTTTTTTTTTTTTTTTTTAACAAGGAGAATGAACACTCGTGCCACACATATGGCATGGAAGATGAGGACTTTGCTGCCAACACCATGAGGATGTACCTGCACATGTGTTGTCTGGGAGCATTCTCTACCTCCGTCCAGACTGGAAGAACAAGAACACGCCAGTCCTGGTCTAAAAGCTCCAGACCCTCAATTCTTCAGCTAACCACTCCTATCTCCATTCAGCCCACAGTGGAGAGAAGAAGCCATTGGGCTAAAACAAGGCTGTTTCTCCTCCTCTTTAATGACATAAACCAAGGTAACAGGAGCTAGATGCACTAGGGACCAGAAAGCTCTAAGAACCAATTTGTTTTCATTTTATGAGGCAATTTCCTCAAGATTAGTTTAAAATTCACAAGTCCCTGGGCGCCTGGGTGGCTCAGTTGGTTAAGCAACTGCCTTCGGCTCAGGTCATGATCCCAGGGTCCTGGGATCGAGCCCTGTATTGGGCTCCCTGCTCAGCAGAGAGCCTGCTTCTCCCTCTCCCTCTGCTGCTCCCCCTTCTTGTGCTCTCTCTCTGTCAAATAAATAAATAAAATCTTAAAAAAAAAAAGTCTCCGTTAAAAAATAAAATTGATAAGTCCCCAAGTCTATTACTGATGGGAAGAGTAAGAGAGAAAGAGGAAGACACAGATAAAAGGAGGATGGACGTGCTGGCTAAAACAGAAGCACACAAGGCTGAGGCGGAGACCAAAACCCTTCTGTACCATGCAGCTCTGTTGTTCCTGGACCAAGTGAACTTGAAAATATGTGGGCTCTTGACTGTGGGACAACTTAGGGGCAAGAACGATTGGTACAAACCCTCCAATGACACATGGGGAAGTTCAAGTAAAACAGCGTGTTTTCCTGGCTCCAGACAACCAAGTGACTTTCTGAGTGGAGGACAGCACGCTTTCCCACTTGAATCACCCACTCTGGTAAGTGAGGACACAATCAATCTGACTGGCTTAAGGACTTGCGTCCAGCATTGCTCTCAATGCTCTATGAATAAACAAGCTTCCTTCTTTTGTTGTATATAGTCACAGATACATAGGGCTGGGCCAGACGAGGGCTTTCCAAACTGGAGATGCTTTCAGGTCACCAGAGGGACTTCCTTCTCTCCCATAGCAAGCAGAATAATTTCACCTTCTTCCATTTCATAGAAGAGGTTCCAGGCAATATTTTGTTTGAATAAAAGAGTTCCACTGCTAAATTGTCCTACCAGATGATCTTTAAGAGAAGCTTTATGACCAAGAGATTTCTTCACCAGGACTGCATAAAATGAGGCAGAAGAGATTACCTTTTATTTTGTACTCTCTGGACACAGCAAAAGTCTTGATTTCCTATTTATTCCAACTCTATTTTCTTATATTTTCACCATTTTCCTCCAACTCTATTTTCTTATATTTTCACCGTTCTTATATTTTCCACATGAACTCACCTGTTAAGACCATTAATTGTGCTCTACTTACCTTCCATTCCCCCTTCTTCTTTACCTTCTTTATCACATCATGCATGATCTCTAAAAAGGAGAGAGAAAAAAAGAAAGGAAGGAAGAAGGGAAGGAAGAAAGGGAGGAAGGGAAGGAGGGAGGAAAGTTTAATGCAATGTTAACGACTTTCAACACCTGCTTATTATATTAGACTAGGTCATTTCCCCCCACAGGCTTTGTTTTCTCTGTCATACAATTCAACCAATCTGCTTACTGAGCCATAATCAAATTACCACAAACTTTTCTACTTCCTTTATTTTTTATTTTATTTTATTTTTTTTAAGTAAGCTCAAGGCCCAACTTGGGGCTTGAACTCATGACCCTAAGATCAAGAATCACATGCTCTACTGACTGAGCCAGCCAGGTGCTCCTCTTCCTGTTCCTTTAATTTGGTGGTTCTCAAACTTTTTGGTCTCAGGACTTCTTTACACTCTTAAAAATTGAGGACTCCAAAGAATGTTAAGTGGGTAAATATCTATTGATATTTACCACAGTAGAAATTAAACTGAGAGGGGCGCCAGGCTGGCTCAGTTAGTGGAGTGTGCAACTCTTGATCTCAGCGGTTGGGAGTTCAAGCCCCACGCTGGGTATAGAGTTTACTTAAAAATAAAATCTTGGGCGCCTGGGTGGCTCAGTTGGTTAAGTGACTGCCTTCGGCTCAGGTCATGATCCTGGAGTCCCGGGATCGAGTCCCGCATCGGGCTCCCTGCTCGGTGGGGAGTCTACTTCTCCCTCTCCCACTCCCCGTTTGTGTTCCCTCTCTCGCTGTGTCTTTCTCTGTCAAATAAATAAATAAAATCTTAAAAAAAAATTAAAAATAAATAAAAATAAAATAAAATCTTAAGGGCACCTGGGTGGCTCAGTTGGTTAAGCATCTGACTCATGATTTTGGCTCGGGTCAAGATCTCAGGGTCCTGGGATCGAGCCCCATGTCAGGCTCTCCACTCAACGGGGAGTCTACTTGTCTCCCTCTGCCCCTCCCCCTGCTCATGTTCTCTCTGTCTCTCTCTCAAATAAATAAATCTTTAAAAAATTAAACTGAGAAAAAAAAATTTTTTTAAAGATTTTATTTATTTGACAGAGAGAGACACAGCGAGAGAGGGAACACAAGCAGGGGGAGTGGGAGAGGGAGAAGCAGCCTTCCCGCGGAGCAGGGAGCCCGATGTGGGGCTCGATCCCAGAACCTTGGGATCATGACCTGAGCCGAAGGCAGACGCTTAACGACTGAGCCACCCAGGCACCCCTAAACTGAGAATTTTTTTTTTTTTAAGATTTTTATTTATTTATTCATGAGAGACAGAGAGAGAGAGGCATAGGGAGAAGCAGGCTCCCCGCGGAGCAGGGAGCCCGATGCGGGACTCGATCCCAGGACCCTGGGATCATGACCTGAGCCGAAGGCAGACGCTTAACCATCTGAGCCACCCAGGCGCCCTAAACTGAGAAATTTTTAAAGTAATCATTAATTCACTTAAAGTAACAAGAGGAGGGGTGCCTGGATGGTTCAGTGGGGGTTAAGTGTCTGACTTTTGATCTCAGCTCAGGTCTTGAGCCTTGAGTCTTTAAAAAAAAAAAAAAAAAGGTGAAAAAAAAATAACAAGAGGGGTGCCCAGGGATGCCTGGGTGGCTCAGTCGGTTAAGCATCTGCCCTCAGCTCAGGTCATGATCCCAGGGTCCTGGGATCGAGTTCCGCATCCGGCTCCTTGCTCTGCAGGGAGTCTGCTTCTCCCTCTGCCTGCCGCTCCCCCTGCTTGTGTTCTCTCTCTCTGACAAATAAATAAATAAAATCTTTAAAAAAAAAAAAAAAAGAGGGGTGCCTGGCTAGCTCAGTCAGTAGAGCATGCTGACTCTTGATCTCTGGGTCATGAGTTCTAGCCTTACACTGGGCATAGAGCTTACTTTATAAATAAATAAATACATACATACAAACAAGAAACTCATTATATGTTAACATAAATAGCATTTTAATGAAATGTAATTATGTTTTCTACAATAAAACAATTTTTAGTGAGAATATTGGCTTTTTTAAAAAACATTTCTGCAACTCTCTTTGGCTTCATAAAAGACAGCAGATAGGGTTCTCCTATCTGCTTCTGCAATCTGTTATGAATCATATAGCATCTAGAAAACTCTAGTGTGCACTTGTGAGAGAATAAGAGTGAAGAAGGCAAATAATATCTTAGTCTTATTATAAAGACAGTTTTGCTCAGGGACTCCCCGTGGGATCTCGGATTTTTGAGAACCGCTGCCTTAAATTAAGTGGGTAAGAGACTATGACAATACCAGGCCACGTGAGCCCCCTCAAGCTCCAAAAACAGATGTGAAGGGCAGTTTGATGTCTTTCTAACCCTGAGCACAGCTGTGGGATGCTCCCAACCAAAATCACCATTTTGTTGAGCCACAGATCCTAGAAATTCCACACCACACACAGGGCTACCCAGCCATGAAGTCTTCACAGGAAATAAAACTTTTGCCACTCTTTCTAAATCCAGGTAATACAAAGGTCTGGAAGGACTCAAAGGTGAGCAGTTGCCACCAGCAAGTGTGTCTCAAACATTTAGGTCATTCTCTAGAGCATGTTTCTGATTCTGCTTTTGATCATGTTCAATAATCTGGTATGTCATGAAAGTTTTTTTTTTTTCTTAAAGATTTTATTTATTTATTTGAGAGAGACAATGAGATAGAGAGAGCATGAGAGGGGGGAGGGTCAGAGGGAGAAGCAGGCTCCCCGCCAAGCAGGGAGCCCGATGCGGGACTCGATCCCGGGACTCCAGGATCATGACCTGAGCCGAAGGCAGTCGCTTAACCAACTGAGCCACCCAGGCGCCCTGTCATGAAAGTTTCTTAATATCTTTAAGAACTTGGGGCACCTGGGTGGCTCAGTCAGTTAATTGTCTGCCTTCAGCTCAGGTCAGGATCCCGGGGTCCTGGGATCCAGTCCTGTGTCAGGCTCCCTGCTGAGCCTGCTTCTCCCTCTCCCTCTGCCACTACCCCTGCTTGTGTGCTCTCCCTGTCAAACAAATATATAAAATCTTTTTAAAAAAAATCTTTAAGAACTTTTTACTTGATTAGAAAAAAAACACATGCTGCAGTAAGCATGGAAAACAGAAAAAAGTATAAAGAAGAAAATACCATGTACTACTTGTGTACATAAAAAAAAAATTTAAAAAAAATCACCTGTAATCCTGCCAACTTCAAGTACATAATTAACATTTTAGTTTATTTCCTGCTAGCTTTTTCCATGCAACTCTACAGTTAAGATCATGCTGTATATATAATTTTTATTATGCTTTTTTTTCATGAATAAGATCATTTTCATATTAATAAAAACGCTTCCTGGTTTTAAATGCCACATAATAGTCCCTAGTTTAGTCAACAATTTCCCTAATAGCCATTTAGATGACTTCCCATATTTCAGTGGTGAAAAATTGGGAACAGATATATCCAATGATAGGGCAGCGCTTAAGTCAGTTAGGTTTTGTTAATATAATGGAATACAATGTACTCATTAGAAATAATGATATGTAACATATCTATTCATTCATCCACTCTCTCATTCGATAACATTTACTGAGTAACCACTGTTTACCAGTCAGTGGACCAGGCACCAGGAATGAAACATAGAAGATATGGCACAGCTCCCGCAGAGCTTACAGCCTGGTGGAGGGAGCAGATGTTGAATCAAGTGCAATCTCAGCTTCTCATAAGTGCTCTCCAAGGTGAATAAACAAAGGCTATGATAGAGGAAAGAAAAAAAAAGGTGTGGACAGCTACCCGAAAGGGAGGACCAGCCAAGGCCTCTCTGAGGAAGTGAACCTCATAAGGAAGATGCCAGCCATGCAAAGGCTGGAAAGGAGAAGGAGTAGGCACAAAGGCTTGGGCTGGAAAAAGAGTTGGACATCTTCTTGGAACTGGAGATCACTGTAAGCTGAGATTGGAGGCCAGATCGTTTAGGGCCTTGATTTTATCTGAAGGGCACTGGAACGCCACTGAAGGAAGGGACGTAATCTGACGTGCTGTAGAGGGGAGATTGGAGGGGATGAGAACAGAAGCAGGGTGTAGAGCTAGGAGGCCTTTGCAGTCAGAAAAAAAAAAAAAAATCAGCATGATTGGTGGCACGGGTCATGGTGAGAAGTGGATGGATTTGAAACATATTTTGGAAGTAAAACCAACAGGGTTAGCTGCTGAATTGGATGTGGGGGCCTGGGGGGTGGGGAAGAGACAGATAACTCCTGGGTTTTTGGCTCAAGCAAAGAAATTGATGCAAAGACATTTGGAGATACATAGAGAAAAGATTTAAAGGAAGAACTGACTTGTAAGAAAATACCAAGAGGTTTTTTGTTTGTTTTTTTAATTAAAGATTGAGATGGCTGAGAGACTGAGGGGAGATGGAGAGCTGGTAGCTGGAAGTAGCTCTGGAGCTTGGAAGAACGACCTCAGCTGGAGGTAAAAATCTGGACTTCAATCCTTCCTTCCTAGGTACTCCCATTACAAAATTCTCAGGAGATATATTTGTCGTGGCTATTGTTAACAGCCAATTCCAATGCTGCCCTACATTTTTCTAATCCAATACCGAAAAGGAAACAAGGATTAGAGCCCTATTTGCATTAAGAATCAAGTAGCTTGGGCTACTTCGCCACAAATAATCCCTGGCAATCACATTTCATCTCTCTTGTAAGTCCTCTTTGTGTGGAAAGAAACAAAGTCTTCTGAGGCCGGTCCAACCAGCAGTCTTTTTTTTTTTTTTTAAAGATTTTATTTACTTATTTGAGAGAGAGAGTGAGAGACAGAGAGCACAAGAGGGAAGAGGGTCAGAGGGAGAAGCAGACCCCCTGCTGAGCAGGGAGCCCAATGTGGGACTCGATCCTGGGACTCCAGGATCATGACCTGAGCCGAAGGCAATCGCTTAACCAACTGAGCCACCCAGGCGCCCTCAACCAGCAGTCTTATTTCTGCACACCAAACCGTGTGTATAAACAGCCAAAACGTCCATTCTACCGCCCAGCTAGTCTATATAGATAGAACAGAAGACA